GGGTGCTTTCGAACTGCTAGGTTGGCAGGCGCTGGGACCGAACAGGGGAGCGCACCCCGCCGCGGGTATTCTGAACCCGCCGACCTTTCAATCGGCAAGCCCTAGGCGCTGAGCTTTTACCCACAGCGCCACCCACCCGCATCCTTTTGGCCAAATTACAGTGCAACAATTTAGGTGCACATTAGATTTGATGGCAAATTTACATTCGACAGCAAATACTTTTTTGTTTGTTTCAAGGTTCTGAAAATTGAGGTGTACATTAGATTCAATAGTGCATTAAACTCAAATAAATACGGTATAACCAGCTTATAACCTGGTTTGGAGCAACAGGAACAGTCTGATAGCATCTGGGGCTTGTTAGCAGCTCCATGCGTAGGGGTCGGTCTCTCCCCTCCCCCCCAATGTGTGTGTGTGCATGTGTGCCTATGAGAAAATAACTGAGAGTCACACCAACTATTCTGAATTGGGCTCTACATAGGAAAGGAGAATTACATTGGATGGTCAGTTAGTCCCTTAACATTAGTCCATGAGCAAACTGCCTTTTGAACTCCCCTCTCTTCAGTACACTTCCCCCTTGAAAGTCTTTGTACGCTCTTGTGACGGCACTGGAGGTGACTATCTCTCTTTTCCAATATGCTGGTTGCCCTTTTACTCTACTTTATTTCTATGTAATCTAATTTTGCTCATCCATATTACTTTAACATAATTCACTCCCAGACAGAATGGAAGAGCCACACGCAGTAATAGAATGTGAAACGTTTATTAGATTCAGTGTGGTGAGACCTAAATAGCCCAGGACCAAAGAGACGTGGTGTCTTCCTTCAATTTATTGCCCTGTCATCCACTCTTGTATACTGGGCAGTGCCCATCACCAAGGGTGGGGTTTCAGCTATGGGGCACAAGAGCCCAGGCACACATGGGCAATTTGAATGCACACAGCTGTAGTCTCGAAGCTGATATTCAGAAGCAGTCATCCCAAAACAAAACACATATCTAGAAGGAAAATCGACTTCAAGAGGTTTTGCTCACAGGTCTGTTACACTGTAGGGCTTTTGATTCTGCAGTATCCAACTAGGTTATAATCACAATGGACCACTGAAATGGACCCACAATGGACCTACTGAGTTAGGGCTCATTCCCACTTCTGTTTGCCCCATTGCTTCCCCCTGAGAAAACCCACAGTTTAGTGCTGAATCGGAACAAACAGCAATCTGGATTTCAGCAGATCGCCGTTTGGTCTGATTTAGCACTAAAGGGCAGGCTTTACCCGCGGGAGGGGGGAGAGAGAAGAAGTGGGGCAAAGGCAAAACCACTCAGACCTGTGCCTAGGGAGGGGGGATAAGCAGAAGTGTGGACAAGCCCAAGTCATATCTATTAACTTTGAAAGGTCTACTCAGGCTTACATGGACAGAGCTTCTAGGCCAGCCTTCTCAAACATGCTTCCCTCCAGATGTTGTGTGGCTCCAACTCACATCAGCCACAACAGCTGTCATGGCCAATGGTCAGGGATGATGTGATTTGGAGTGCAACCAGGATGGAAAGGGCTGTTTCAGGGGTTCATCTTCTGACCCAATTCTTGCCTTCCATTGTATGGGGGTTCCCTGGCCCTCAAATCACTTGTGAGTGAAATTTAAAGCTGAAAGATCCCAGAACAACTGGAGGAGACATCAGCTGGTTCTACGCCAAACTCAAGTTGGCCCTTGGATTTGTCTCAGACGTCTGCCCTGCAATGCTGGGATTCATCAGAGCACACCTTCCTCTGTGCCTTGCTAGCTGGGGATCTTTTTGTTCCGTACTATAAATGCCTCTCCATCACAACTACACATTC